TTGCACTATCGCTTCAAGCAGGAGGAAGAGATTGGTCGTGTCATGCACCTTGTGTCTGAACTTGTTTGTGACTTTTTCATCAAGGTGCTTCCCAAGTGGGTTCTTGACCACTCGATCTTGTGGGAAGAGTTTATGATTTTGGATCCAGACACAAATCTCCCAGCCTACAAGACTTCAGAGGCCGCCTTACAAGCAGAAGTGAATCCAGAGAAGTATCATACACATTTTGCTATGAACTTCAAGAAATTCAGGTTTTCTGCAAGAGTGGTGTGGTATTTGGTTGACCGTGACAGGAATCATTTAGAGAGGTTTCTTCACAACTCCAACAGCAGATTTGTGCAACATGCATGCTATCAACTTCGTGAATATGTTCAAGCGCGTGTTGCAGTTTCTGATCCCTTGTATGAGATGATCAAGAAGGAAGAGTTTGAACGCCAATACAATTCCAAGTTTTTGGAGGCGATTTCTTGCTCTCGTGTTGTAGTTGAGCCTGTAAGTTCAGGGACGTATGAGCCATCGTCGAAGCTGAACTTAAAGGTATTACAAAACATTCTGAAGGGTGTCTACAAGATCCAGAAGAATGAGGAGCTTGCCAGAGAACGTGAGGAAGAAGAAGAACAGGCAGCTCAAAACATCTCAAACTTGTTAGCAGATGATATGGAGCTTGATTTTGATGATGACGACGTACCAGTATGGCGCTCCATTGTCAACAAGTATAGAGAAGGTGATCAGGTGCTACAAAGAGAAGCAGTGAAGATTACTCATCTTTTCAAGGACAAAAAGGACAATGAGAAGGCAACAGAAGTTTTCAGTTCAGAGAGGACAGATTTCCATGAGACCTCAGAACCTCTTCCAAGGACCATGGGAGAAAATCTTGTAGAGGACTTGTTCACCAAGAATGTCGCAGAACAAGCTTTTGAGGCAGGTGAAGAAGTTCCTCCTTACACAAGAGTCTCCACTATCGCTGGTGGAATCTACACTGGTAGTCTGATGTTGACGAAAGATGAAGATATGGAAGAGGAAGTTCCTGAAGAAGATCCTGCAGTTGAACCTGAGAAAGATGAAGAAATGTTTGATGAGAATGCAGGTACTTTTCCTTCAGAGGGACCAAAGATGGAAGTTGACCAGGAGGAAGCCAAGGAGGAGTCAACGCCACACTTTCTGTCAAGAGAGATAGGTGAGGACTCAGCTGCATCGTACTTACCATCAGGTGAGAAGGATGCTAACCTTGAGGATACTTCAGGTCAGCGGAAAGCTAAGAGAAGCCGCCTGAATAAGATTCCTGATCCTCATTTTCATGAAGAAGTTCAGGATGATGCAACTCTTGAGGAGAAGAAGAAGGCGGTGAAGAAGATAAGAGAGGTCAGAGAGGATGATGGAGAGAAGAAATTGGAGGCTGAAATCCAAGAGTCTTTTCCATCTGAAGTAGTTGTTGATAAAGATCCTGTGGATGCTGACAATACCTATGAGTTGCATACCTCACCTTTGAGGTTGCTTGGAGAGCTTACAGAAGTCCCAGGTATTGGCTTTTATCAACCATGCTTCAGGGAAACTCACGCAAGATTGCTGAACCATGTTTGTTTCAGAAAAGGTGAGATTTCCCATCCTCATTATCAGTCGAGGATCAACGAGGATGATTTTGTTCGATCCATTCGAAGTGTCTGTCCAGTACCTCCACCTGATTGTTACGAACACGACTCAGAGCATGATTTGAAGAGGTTTTTCATCAATGATGACCGCATCAGTCATTTGGATGGCAAGTATAAGGTCGATCCAAAGTCCTTTGAAAGGGCAGAGCATGCTCGAGAAGAATTGGAGGATACGAAGAAGGAACTTAAGAAGGAACTGGAATCATATGGTCCCAATGGACCCAGTTGGGATTTTGTCACCTTCTATGAAGAGCTGTGCAGAAGGTTCCTCAAGGGAAGAATAGAAGAACAATATGGAACCAACTTATCGGCCAGCTCAGAGTCCTTGACGTTTTTATCCTGGAACTATGGCAATATGGTTCGTGGTCAGAAGTACACCACACCAAGGTTTCTCCAAGGACTTGATAGTGCAATGAGGCCACGCAAACAGAGCGCCATGTCACTTCAATACGAGCAATTTGAGAACAACCTTTTCTTCAATATGCTCTTCTTTTTACGTGCGCATGTCGTGATTCTCCAGGAAGCTCATCTCCTTGTTCCTGCCAAGGAATTCATTGAGCAAAAGAATTGGACAGTTTGTTTCAATGATTGGGAGAATCTTGCAGTGATGGCTAGATTGGCACCAGGTGGATATGTCAAGATCATTGCTGGACATGACCAAGACCTTGGTCATTGTGAACAGCGTGATGTAACTTGGGCTATCTACGAGATTTGTTTTGGAAAAACAAGGCCTCGTCAAGAATTCAAGGATGCAGACTTTGAATTTGATGACTATGGTCCTGAGGACCAGCGTGTTCCACTTACTAGAGCGAACATGCATACCATCAGAGTCTGTAATTATCATGTTGATACACACCGTGCTGTGGATGCCCACCTACTGACAGGAGAACAGACAGCATTGATGCTTTATGAGTGTTTTGTCTATGAGGTGGACATCATTTCTGGTGATGCAAATAGTTTAGCCTACAGAATGTCTGGGTACAAAAGGCAGCCAACGGCTAACTATTATTACAGCACCATGCAGCATTGGATCCGCAGGTTTTCAGAAGCCCGTGTAAAATCAGATCCTGGTATCAAAGCACCTATTCCCAGAACATTTTACAGTTCAACTTCACTTGTTCTAAAGCAGTGTGAAGATTACTTTGATAAACTCTGGGAAGATTACTCCACAGTAGAGAAAGAAGAATACCAGGGATCACAGCTTGGAGATACATGTTTGTCTACCATTGTTGAATGGGGTCATTCGATGAGTGAAGAGGAATATGAAAATTCCACAGTGAGCACGAAGGAGTTCATCTGTAATTTTTCAGAGAACTTTGCTATGATTGACACGGAGGTTATGTGCTCAAGGCCCACTGACGAGGACAGTCATGGTCCAATGTTTATTTCACTCAGACCAGCTTCCTCTTCATCTGGAGACAGAAGACAGTATCGCACGGGAGCAACTCTTCATGAGGCGAAACTGCGGAGGAAGGAGAGACAGAAAGAGAATAAAAGGAAAGGAAGGCCGCCAACTTCTGATCAAGCAGCTTCATCGACTGCAGCGGCATGAAACTCAGAGCGGAAGCTAACTTTTAATGATGGCTAGGAAGTGAAGATACTTCTGATCACAGTTGATACTTTGCTTCCAGGCTTGACTTTAAGTTGCCAGGCTGAAGTTTTAATGAACCCTGGTTTGCAACAAGGAGAAACTTTTTGTCAAAGAAGATACTCCTGCATTCCAGGTTTATACGCTTTAGCATGCAGATAAATACAGTTTACTAAACGGTTATTATCTGCAGGTAGGTATGGACAGTTTTTCAGAACTGATGATAACTACCACAGCCGCTCTTTTGAGGTGACCTCTAATGGACAACCATTCATGGTTGACGATTAAGTCATTTCATAAGTTTGCATTTGTAGTGCAAGTTTTGTACGTACATTTGCCGGTGTCTCCTTCCTTGTGTTTTTGATGTCGATGAGAGAAAGAGTCCTTCTGATGCAGTTCCATTTTTATTTAAGTCCTGTGTATGGAAGCGGCCGAGACCACTTTTAGAGAAGAACATTCCTCGGACCGAGAGTTGACGCTCCTTGCATTTTGCAAGGCATCTTAATTCATTGCAATTTGTGCGGTCTTGAATTTTTAGCTCTTCGTTACGCGAGTGTCGTTTACTGCTTTTACAGGTCTCTGTGTAAGAAAGCCGCTTTCCTTCGAATTTAAGTTTCTTTGAAGCTCTGGCTATTTAAGGGCTATTGAGCGCCGGTACACGGTATCTTCGCCGGTGAACAATACAGTCTCCAGCCGAGATACATTGTCTCTGACTTTGTATTTGAGGTGAGTCAGCTATTGCTCCCTCACTGTATTTAGTAAACCTAGAGATTACCTTTTCTAAAGTGTGAAACACACTGGAATTGGTAAGTACAGGGCACCGTGGTTTCCTTTTAAGCTTAATAGAGCTTGCTGGACTGTTTTAGCCTTGCGGTAGAAAATAGTATGCGACATACGCAAATAGGCAGGAGTGGACATGAATTTTGTGCCTGCTGAAATGTAGAGGCCTACTTGTACAGGTTCCACTCCAGTGGCCTATCTAGTGTGTCCATGCTTGACTGCCATAAGGCTCAAGAGATATAGGATAAGACTCTGCGTGAGCAAAAGACACTAGCGGTCTGCACCTCTACCGTGTACGCCCTAGTCACTCTTTCACCCCCCGCCCCCTTGGAACTGATTTTTCAATACAGACCCCCCCCCTCTAAATTCAATTCTCTCCTGGAGAACGTCTTCGTGAGCCTCTCATGATTTCAGGATAGTTGAAGCCCTCTTGAACATTTAGAAAGAGTGCATATGAAATTCTAATCACGAAAGGTGTTCCCCGAGGGGATACATACCTAGAGTTTGTTTTGTGAAGCACGTCAATTCTCTCCTGGGGAGCGTCTTCGTGAGCCTCTTATGGTTTCAGGATAGTTCAAATCCTATGATGCTCCGATTCAATGCTCACCGATGATCCGATCCATGGGGCAAGTTTGTTTTCCTAAGAATCGTTTTGAGCATTTCCAGAGCATATGTTTGAACAATTAGAGTGCATATGAACATATATTTACGATTTACGAAAGGTCGCCTCCGAGGGGATAAATCACCATGTCGAACATTGCATTTTTGTTCCTGCTTCTCGCGTTCTCTTCTCTTCCCGCTGTCCTACCTTTCGTGTCCCTCCTCTCAAGTCTGGTGTATCTGTATTTGCTAGACCCCGAGACATCGTTCTGGATCCTATGAGCACACCCAATTTCCATGTGCTCCTTTTGCGTTTCTCTCCTGCGTTTGAGACCGAGAAGATAAACCCTGCCGCGCTGCTTGCTGAGCCTGCGTGTTCCAAGGCACTTTGGCCGGAGCGATGTTCACCATCATCCTAGCCACGCCTGCCTTTGCAGTGCTGCTTCCTCCCTTGCTATGGATCTACATGAGGTGGGTTCTCCAAGCGGCGACATTCTCGATGGTGGTGGAAAACAGGTGCATGCATCGAATGCTTGGTAATTCCTTTTTCCCAGAGCGACTCGCCCCCCTCAAAAGCTGCTCACAGGCGGGGTTCCCAAATTCCGATTGTAGCTTTAAGAGAGTTTTCAATCAGCTTCAAGCAGAGGTGAATGGCAAGTGATTCTGATCTTCCCCTTCAGTTGGCGCCAATTTGGGTGGTGGGATCGTGGAAACTTTCAGAGAATCACAAAATATCTGCTCCAAAGCATGCCGAATCAATCCAACGAGCCTTGCCACGACTGCTTGTTTTTTTCTCGTGAGACCTCATGGGTTCTGTCAACGCAGATGCCACAGACTTGGTTGAGCAGAACTGGGCCACCCACATTTGGTAATCAATGAATCAATCCTCCAACAGCTAGGATGACAAAAAGTTTTCACATTCATGGCCAACCCTTTGGCAAAGGAAGAGAAGCATCATCTGCATCAAATTCCTTCTTTGCGTCCCGCAATGACTCAATCGCTGCACCGCTTGGCACGACCGCCCGTTTAAGGTCCCTCCAATACTACCGCCCCGTGGCCCGCGAGCTCAAGCGCCTAGAGCCCCTGGCGCGCTCGCCGGTCTACGCGGAGCAGTCGGCGGCCGCCAGCGGGGTCACCACCATCCGCCAGCTGGGCCTGGGGAACGTCATGGCGGTGCTCTGAAGCAAAGGGGTGCAGAGGGGGTTATGGTGAATGGGCCTTTTAGGCGCATGCATGGGTATTGGAGGGCACTGATTGCTTGAGGAAAATGGACCAAACTCTGTTTGTCATGTTTGTCTTGTTTTCGGGTCCAGCATAGGTTCGGTGCAGAAGATTGCAGGTTCGGCCTGGTTCCGCGGCGTTTTTGGCGGGTGGCACCAACAAGTTCCTTTTCTCTTGCCTTTTTGCCGCTGTTTTAACCTCAACAACAGCTCTTCCGTGGCGGTCACCGGGTGAGGCCAGGGCGCTTCACGCCATCGATGGCAACACTGCAGTGTCGTTCGCGGCGAAAGCCGTGGATCGATGGTTCTCGCTGTGCCGCGGCGGATCTCGGGAGCCAGCGGGGGGGTTGGAGGTTTACCTTTTGGACCTGACAAGTCTAGCAGGTCTAGCGACAAGTTGGAGATGCAACATCCAAACCTTGAAGGAGAACGGTGGGACCTATAGGAAAATCCCTGAAACGGCAAAAACTTGGACAGAGCCTCCGTTCTTTCTCATCCTGCGTCTCAGGCGGATGGAGCTCCTGGGGAACCTCATCGTCTTAGCCTCTGCGCTCGTCTGCCTGGCCGCGAGCGGCAGCGGTGCCTGGTCCGAGGCGCGCTCGGCCATTGCGGTGACACAGGCGCTCTCGGTGTGCGGGCTGCTGAATTGGACGGTGCGTACGATCGCGTGCCAAAGCTGCACAGGGTGTGTGAATTTGAGGGAGACGGCAGAGACCCTTTCTCCTTTTTAGGCTGAAGTGGCTTTTTGACCAGTGTGTCAAACTGGAGGACTTCCTATTTTTCCTCACCCACTACTGTAACTGGAGGGTAGGGGTTGGGATGATGGGGATGAAGGAGGATTCTCTTGATGATGACAGGGAGGGAAGGATCACATGCCTGCTGGAATGATGTAGTGCAGCTGGGATGCTGATCCAGGCTGGCTTTGATTGTGTAGGATTCTGGCCGTGGATTTTGCTCTTAGGATTCAACCTCTTGTTCCCTTATGCTTTATTTTGGTTTTATAAGAAATGCACTGGAGAAATACACCAAAATAAATAGTGGTACTCATTTTTCCTTTGTAGTAGCCGATGGTTCTCTCCATGTTCTCTTGACTTTGGAGCTTGGTCTCTAAGGCAGACAGAGACCAGCTTCACCTCTTGGCAGCGGGTGGCGGATTCTTTGGAAAGTACCGAGCTGGAAGGCCAGCGGAGCTTGCCGGAGGACGCCCATTTGCCAGCCAAGTGGCCCGTGAGCGGAACGATCTCCTTTGAGGCGAAGGGCGTGGAACATGTGGCGAAAGGGTGAAGGTCTGGTTGGTCTGGTTTCAGGTCCACATTCCACGAAGCAGCCGGGGATGTTTTTCATGGACGAACCTTGGTTCGCTGACCACCGGGATGTTTTTCCTGTTCTCGTGACAGTTAGAGTCTAGAGTAGATTGGGCCCTGTTACTTCAGATGTCAGATGATCAGGATGACTGCATGACATTATATCATCATAGGTTCAAACTAAAGCGGAAAGCTTGGCTGAAAGCATGCTTATATATCTGAAAGTATGCAGATCGACCTTGCCTGGTGCAAGGGAGTCTCCTTCCGCTATCGAGAGAACCTTCCCTTGGTCCTGCGGAAGCTGCACTTAGAGCTCACTCCTGGGCAGCGCGTGGGCGTGGTGGGCCGCACCGGCAGTGGGAAATCAACACTGCTGAGGCAATTCGAGTCCGTTGAATGGTCTCATCAGCTGTTAAGAAGATTTGGTGCACAGAATGTCGTGCACAACCTGAAAGGCCAGTCTTGTATGTAGCACTATGTAAGCTCTCAAATTCAGGTGACATTTCCAAGACAACTTCTCAAGCAAAGTTCCCAGGATCCTACTTCGAACGGTGGAGCCCACCGAGGGCACCGTCACCATCGACGGGGTGAACATCCAGCAAGTGGGCCTTGCACGGCTCAGATCCTCTGTCACGGCCATTCCGCAGGCGCGGATGGGGCACCGAGCCGAGCGCGCTTCGGCGGGCGATGCGGACGATGCGACGCGGCGTGGGTGCGACAAGTGGAAAAGCCCGGTCGGCTGATGCGGTCAGCCTCCGGCGACTCTGCATTTCTTCCATTTTGTCACCGGTTTGGCCAGCACCTCCCCCACACCTGCATGCCAACCAGAGCACCCAGCCGCAGCCGAGTGGTCCCCTTCAGACATCCCATCAGGACAACTTCCTGGTGAGTGGCTCCATTCGTGAGAACGTGGATCCACGCAATGACTACAGCGACGAGGAGGTGCAGCACGCTTTGGAGGCAGCGAGCCTTCAAGGTTGGAACCTCCATCGACACATCAATGCGGCCCGTGTCTTGTCCAAAACACGGCTGAGCCATGTCAGTGGGATGGAGAGTTGAGCTTAGAGCAAGGGTTGAATAAGGCTTGGTTGGCTTCTTGGCGGGCTGAGGGGCGGATGATCGCAGTGAACAAGGGCTGCCTCTTGAGTTTGCCTCGAAAGTGTGAGGAACAAACCACTCACATAACTTAGATGAACTCGGTTTCAATCAGGGACGAACCAGTTGTATTTTCCGACAGCTCCCTATGAATCCATCCTATGAATCCATCCTCACAGGTATTTGTTCACTTATATATACATATATACACCCTTTACATATGTACAGATTGAACTAACATGGTAGAAATCGCTCGGAACTCGAGAAATGCACAACTCTCGCACCGAACTCTTGAACTACGACGGCCCCGCCGCTTGAAGTTTCTTTCTCCTTCTCTTCGACTGAAAAGCCAGGGGACATCTCCCCGGGGGAGAAGCAGCTCATCGGTGTGGCACGGGCAGTGCTGCGGAAGAGCCGAGTGGTGGCGCTGGATGAGGTCACCAGCCGCGTGGACAAGGCCGCGCCTGGCTGAAAGTGTGGACCACGGGCGAGAAAGACCATGAAATACCAGGTGCGAGACCATGTTAGGTGGTTTTAGTGGTTTTGGTCCACACACAAAGAAGAAGAAGAAGAAGAAGAAGAAGAAGAAGAAGAAGAAGAAGAAGAAGAAGAAGAAGAAGAAG